AAACAGAATTGATACTGGAACCTTGTCGTGCGAAGTAATCAAGATGTACCAGGAAACAGTGTCAGCAGCAACGATACAATCACAATCGGCATTGACGGCTGACACCAGCCATTGTTCTGATACGTGGTTAGCAGAGTAAGAATTCGATACAAGTATAAATGTCCATGGCTGTGATCAAGGTCACGTGTCTCATTGCTAGAAAAATGGAAGCAGTTCTTTACAAAACAATTTCATGATATTTTGCAACTTTTCTCTTAAATTCCTCAAGTATTTGAACTCCGTGTAAATTATTTCTGGCATGAATTTCTTGCGTGTATCAATCAAATTTGACTCCGGAAGCTATAAAATCTTGCCAATATCTCCTAGAAATAGTTTCTATTACGTTTTTAAAGACGTTGGACTCATCGTCAGTGAAAAAAATTTTGATGGTAGGTAGGCCTTACTCGTATCATTCGTTTTGGAACTTCCGGATGTTTTGTTAGAATTGAAAATTGAAGAACTGAACCAATTTTTGGACCAATCCCCCACTAAACTATCAAGTGATCAATTACCTAGGACGAGAACCCTATCAAACCTATGTACATACACAAAATTTAAAAAACATATTGGAAAATTGATATGCTTGAATTGATATTGAATTGAAGTGCTTGTTCAACGAAAATTATGCATTGTTATGCACATGGCAACAATACGAACTTTAACTAGGAGCAATTGAAATCCAGCTTTTCATTCTCACATTAACTTACTAAAAGAAGCCCAATCAGAATTATTTTAAGGAACTAACCGACCTGGATGTAGTATTTTCTAAATCAACGGTTAAAAATATTAAATATTCATGCGTGCCTTTCGTCAAACACTTACTGTTTCATGACTTCCAGAATGAACAGCTTGATTTCGACCGGGTATAATAATGGAATGTACAGACCATAAGATAGCGTACTGATGATAACCAGCCAGGTATAATACTCGAAGACTCCAATCCCAAGCCTCGTCAAGAATGACGAATCGCCATCGTCGTCCCAGTCCTTACAGTCCAGAATCATCATGCTGCTCAGCAGGGGAGGCATGCAAGGTTTCACCAAACCCAGCAGTGAAACTGCTAGTGGCAGAGAGACGACCAATGATACCGCCAAGAATCCAAGTATTACAAAATATGGGCGAACACGACTGGTTCCTTGATACAAAGCGCAAACATTTATGCACATGTACATGCAAAATATTTTTCCATGAAACGCTCTACAGCAAGGAGTCTAATAATGCGATGGTGTACAGTGTAACCCTCCGACTTGGCTGAAATTATGTGGTCCCAGTCAATAAAACTAACGTATCTAGAGGAATTTTGTGCGACAGTGCGAATTTGTAAAAACATTTGAGGTCAAAATTAAAAAAATGAACGATTTTTCCTTTCGGAGGGAATGAGAGAGGGATTTGCTTCCGCTTGGTAATAATCGTCTTTTTAAACTTTGACCTCAAATATTTTGACAAATTTCGACCATCGCACAAACTGCCTCAAGAACCCTCGGTTGTGTTGAGGTGGACCACACAATTTTAAAATTTCAGAAAAATCCTGGTATTACACTTCACACCATCGCATTTGTGTAAGAAAAGCCAAGCCAGCAGTGTGCTTGAATGAATATTTAATTCATGCATCATTAAATAAATGAATGCGAACATGGATGGGGCTAACTCATACAATGTAAGTTTCTTAGATACCTTCTCGAATAAGCTTCAGTTCTGTTTCCATGCACGCATTTTGTAATATTACGATTTCTTCCTTTACCCTCTCGACGTGCAGTAATGAAACAAGAGTAATTCCATGAAGGAAGCCGCTGTAACCGACGAGGACTAATTTCCAGTCGATGGAACATTTTTGGATGTGACATTTTAACCACCCCATGTACTTAACTGTGAACGTCTTCGTTCATACGTTGAAGAATATCCGAAGAACTGGTCATTAATTTTGCACCAATGGTACACAGAAGGCTTATAAAATTTGAGTAGTAACTTGAGAAAGTTAGTGGAAAAATTGAGTGCGAGCAACACTATTTATTATTAAATCACTGACCGATTTCTCGGGAGTTGTAGGAATTCGAGAAGTATAATTTACAAATTTTACAAAATACTGCACATACTTAGGAGGGCAAGGGCAAACTGGGGATGGATTTTAGTTATTGCTTTGGTATGGACTGCCACACAATATTAATCAACATTTGGTTTGAAATAATGTATACGTTCCTAATAATTTTTCCTGTGTACATATGTATTTAATTTCTTGCCTTAACCGGATTCATCAGTAAATTCCGATTTTGAGAGCCAAATTCTAAAGTTAGTTGAAGTACCAAATTTCCAATTTCTCATCTATATATTGGGTCGAACTGATAGGAGAAAGCAGAAGACATTAATAAATTAAATATTTAAGTTCAATATGCAATATGATAACCCATCCAATACTGAGAGGCAATGAGGTTAAACAATGTTTAATGTAATATATGTGCGGATTAATCACAATTCATTAAAATAACAAGCCACTGGATGGCAGTATGAAAGGGTGCCACATATGGTGATTTCTTGGATTTTTAAACAAGGTCAACATAGAATTGGATAACATTCTACAGATAATTAGTATTAAATTGAATTTCTGAAGGGTGGATATTTCTTTCCAGGATTTAATCTTTATGAATATTTACAACTAACAGTTTAACTTCTATGTTGATTAAATATATCCTTACGCTATAGAATGTAGTTGCAAAAGGTCTAAGAATTTCCAATTGCCAGCCGCGGGAACCAGAGGTGAGGAATTATAGTTTTACTCGGGTCATACGGGTTTGGGCGGGTTGGGTAAAAAAAATAAGAACTAAGAATTAAGACCGCACTCCATCGGAGTAACATCGTGTTTATTTACGGCCGGAGATTTCCCCTTGTACAGTACTTTAGTTCTGGTGAGAGATTGCCAGCCAAGCGGATTGGAAATTGCTCATCACTAGAATACCGTGTGTATGTAAGGAAAAGCGTTTTCTTCTACATGTAAGGTTGTGCCTCTTGTTATAGTGCGTGACAGGTTACTGCTTACCATAATACATAGCTCCTCCATAAATTTTCAGCTGAATTGATTAATTTCAACTATAATGATTAATGAATTTTTTTGTGATAATTTTTGACAATTAATTGATAACTAAAAAAACAAAGACTTGCAAATTTGTTATAATTTTGCTTGTTAATTACAAGTTTTATTTATTGATGTATGAATGACGTGTATATCCTTTATGTTGGTTGAAGCATAGTTCAAAGGAAGGAAAATAAATTATTAGTTGCAACAGTTGCACAATTTAGGGATATAAATGCGTTCTGAACGACGCAAGTTTTGAGGAGCAGAACGACTCCTGTTCTGCGGTTGGGGAGGTACGGGTGCTGGTGGAGGTGAGTGGAATAGTGGGGAAGCAGGAAGCTGACAGATGTCAATGATATTAGCAGTCGTTTTGATTTTTTCGGCGAACAAAACTCGTCATTCCTAGCAGTGTGGCGGTGGTAAATAGAAGATTGTCGTTGTCTAGATATTGCACAATGAGTCCCGGCTTTAAATTTATTTTTATAGTAGGTTTTCAGCGCATAAAAAGGGTCAGCTCCAAGTGACCTCTAGGACCATCAGACCAAAGGGCGACTGAATAGCATGTACAAGAAGAGATTAAGATGCTCGTGTAAACGGTAGGGAGTTGTGGAAAACCCCAGAACCTATAGCTCTATCCAAGATGAGTAATCCATACTCATCGTCTCCTTGATGAATGAGAGGTAATTTATATAGAAGCGAAAGAAAACGATTATATACCTTGCCGGCTTATTGAGTAGCTGGGAAATGAGGCATAGGTCTGGGATAAAATGATGAGCAATACTTTTGAGACAGTAATTGGAAATTATTACTGACAGTACTGCTCAAACCGACACAAGCTGCGAAGACGAATGTAGATTGAGAGCATTGAACACAAGCTTTAAAATATTAAAAGATTGTTAGATCTTACGACAGTCAAATCAATTATTTCAAACTAGGCAATTATTTCAAACCTTTCCTTAAAATCTCAAATTATGCAACAAACACTCGGATCCAGACATATGTATAAAAAAACTTTAGAAACGAAGGACTACGCGTGATTTTAGGAGCTGGATGGCCACGGGCTTTTATTTTTTAATTTTGAAGATTATTATGGAGTAATAATAAATCAATAACGTAGAGTTGAAAAAATGACCTTCAACCACTTTTGGGGCCAGAAAATCGAAGATCTCGACAGCCTGATTTTTTAAGCGATCCCGGGTAATATTTTCAAAACGGTTGCAAATCGCTGAACACAACCAATTAGGGAAATTAAGCTACTAACATAAGGTCAACAATATATCCATTCCTAATCCATTATCTCATAGGGAAGCAAAATATTTAAATATAGGCCAAATTTGTGTGATTATTTAATTTATTTGTTTATTTATTTTTGAGATTTTTGGTTATGAAACTGTCGAATACCCCAGTGGCTTTTTTATTTCATTCGACCTACACGGATAGTAGGTACACCAGGATGACAATAGTTAAGCCCAAATCGAGTGCAAAGAAATCCGTGAACATACAGAGCCCAAAATCACGCGTTAACGTTTTGAATGATTAACAAACAATAATTTTAGCATGAATTATGTCCCGCAAAATAACCAGATATTTAATTAAAGCTAACGTCGCAGAAGAAGCATTTCAAATTTTCAGATGATGAGCAAATTGACTATATCGTGAAGGGGCACGACCACTCCCACCTACACACGCCCCCACACCTCGATCTCGTCACCAGATTTACAACCTTTGTAGTCAATTACAAAATTTGCAAATGGGTTTTGCAGACAATTTTTTGCACTTTGCCATCAAAACACATTACTGTGTATGCGAAGAGTTAAGTTAGAACTCATATTTGAACTATCATGGAAAAATTATCCCTAGTTAGAGGCGTCAAACAATGACATGTAATTTAAGGTTTGATTTTTAGAGAAATTTATTATTTCTTAAAAGTCCATATATGTAATTATTGTCGAGACAGACTTGAAATTAAGTAAATTCTACAGTTAACATCCGAATACAGATGCAACAAATTTTCTAAATCGTGACGTTTGCTGAACCTCTCTGGGAGCAGTATACTGCTTTCGGGCAAACGATAGGAAAACCTAAAATAAGATAATATATCAGTAATCCAGAAGTGGGTCATATTTGGACCAAAATTATTTTAAGCAATAATTGACTTCAAATAAATAAACTGTACCTCCTCAAGCGTCGTTTGTTGGACTGAATAATCTTCGATGTAATCCACAAAGCGATTTTTAATTTGCTCCATTCTCTCAAAAACTTCGTCTAACCGGAATGCCGTTGATTGAATGTGAAATTGTACCACGTTCTTCAGAAAGCAATTAAATAATATAATAACCATAAAGAAAATAAATCACGTATTTACACACCTGATGATGATCTTTTAAAATACATGGGGAAAATTCTGAAGTGACTTGATCGACTAAGCGGCGGACAAATCCATCCAATTGCATTTGGTCTCCAGGCTTGATTTGCATAGTGAGGGTATAACCCTGAGCAAATTTATTCTTCAAGTGCTGCACCCTGCCCATGCACTGGTATTCCCCGTTTACCATAATGCCCAAACGTTCACATAAAAATTCGCATTCCTCCATACTTAAAGGGTCATGAATAATAATTAAATTACTTATAATTTTCTTAGGTTTTTCTTAGTGTGCAGATTGTATATACCTATGAGATGTCAATATAATAGATTTTCCCATAGATTTCAATTTTGAAATTATATTCCAAAAGTTTTTGCGAGACACAGGGTCAACTCCGCTCGTGGGCTCGTCTATCATGTTATTTTTAATTAATTTGTGAGCTAAAACTATATTATATGATTTTACCTAGAAGCAAAATTGGTGGATCACCAACCATCGCCATTGCTGCAGTCAACCGTCTATCGCAGTAATATGAAAGATGAAATTAGGTGAGTCTTTAAACTAATCGCATTTAACATACCTTTTCATCCCTCCAGAGTATTTATGACACTGCACTTTACCGCTATCAAGTAGACCTTTTTAAAAATTATAAAAAATCTACATATCTAAGTCGTAGTCCACAATATATATATGTATGTTTCGTTCCAAATATATTATTTTATACCAAAACGATCCAACCAAGTCGCGCAATCCGAATCGATATTTGAGCTCTTCACCCCTCTCAATCTTGCAAACAGCTGGAGCATCTGGAAACCGGAAAGCACGCCAATGATCCCGTCAAATTGAGGACAGTACGCGATCTTAGATAAAAACTCTTTCCTATCACTTTGTAAGGAAAGATTTTGCAGCCAAGCGTCTCCAAAAGATATTATTTCGTCGCCAGTAAGCATTTTGAATGTAGTTGTCTAAGGATTAAAATTAAAGTCCTGAAGTAAGAAATAGGATCAGAATAATAAAATCTAGATTTTACCTTTCCGGCTCCATTAACTCCGAGCAAACCTAAACACAAATGAGAAACACAAATGTAGAACTATTGACATAAAAATTTAAAATGATTCTAAGCAAACCAAAGCATTCGCCGTGATGCACCCCAAAACTTAGTTTTGAGACAGCACAAAAGTTTCCATAACTTTTTGAAATATTTCCAACCACGAGTGCATCTTCTGCAGTTTTCCCTATTTCATTTCAAGGAATAAAAGTAATTAGTAAATAATTAATCATTTACCTTAAGTTCAAATGGTTATAATCTTCATTCACTTACCTCGTTCAATTAGACTTTTAACTCTTGCATTCTCCTCCAGTACATCGTTATCAACCGTATTGGATATAAAGTCCATAGCATTTTGTTTCCACACCTTATTGAGAAGCCTCTTCATCCACCCATACTCTACAAGCATAAGTATGCTTGTGTAAATGACAGCCATGAGCCCCATGAAAATCAACTCCTGTCCAATTCCAGGCAGACTTGGTGGAACATACACATAGTACCCAGATTCGTAAATAGTTCCATCGGTGTACGACCAAACTAAATGCGGGATCGGCTTAAAACAGGGCACATCAAGTTCCACACAGTTATCTAGTTAATAGATTAAAATATTTAGCTTCTGCATACCCTTATGGTGCATCTTAAAAGTATTGAGCATCGGCCAACGTTAATAAATCCAAAAGGCTAAATGGCCGACCTCTCCATAAGCTATAACATGTAAAGTTTCGAAATTAATTGCACGGTCATTTCCTGATGGATTTTAATAATGCCGCCCTTTTTTGAAAACCTTGGACCTTGGGGAGAAATATATATTTTCAGATTTTTCAAATTCTGCCCCACCCCCTCGAAATCTAGGTCACAAGGTCAAAAAACAAGTAACATTTCTTTATCGGATTTTAAAATTTTACGATTTTACGATATCAATTTTCTCAGCTCGCCAAGGGGATTTCAGTGACGTAGTTAAAATTTAGTAAACCACACCCCCTGGGGGCGTGGCCATTGGTATGCAGTGAATCAACATAAACCTGGTCGTGTGACATATCAAACTTCTTAGGACGTTAAGTAGATTTCAGTGGTATAGTTAAAATGTAAAAAGCCACACCCCCTGCCGGTGTGGCTATCCGTATCCAGGGAATCTACTTCAAGTGGGCCATGCGGCATATCAGGTTTGTCAGCTTGCCAAGGTTGGCGAAACAAGTCATCACGCCGCGTGTAAATTTCCCAAGCTCGTTACGGCGATCAAAGTTATGTAATTCAATCAAAGTCACGCCTCCAATTGGGCTGGACTGTTCAACTTCTACAAAACCAAACGATGTGAAAAGCTATTTTTTAAATATTTATTGCAGCATCTCCATCATTTTGCAGAATAATTAAAATTCGCGAACTGCGTCCCGGTGTGTTGACGGCAACGACTTTTCGAGATTGTCGAAGCCATTTCAGATGACTCATAATAAAGCGTCATTTTTATACATCCATGGTCATCACTTTCAAGAAAACTTAAAATGGAAACCACACCACCAGGGGTTGTGGTCGTCGTACTTGGGTGGTTACCTTAGCGATGAATTCCATGCTACTGATTATTTCGCAATTCGCATTATCTGGTTTCCAAGATTTGCACATATGTTTAAACCACACCCATTTTGGGCGTGGTATTTTAAGTTTGAATTACGTAACTTTGATCGACCTGAGGTGGTGGGAAAATTTGCAGATCACATGACATTGTTTCGCAAAATCCACCGGAAGCCAACAACCACACCCACAGGGGGCGTGGTTTAGCATTTATTAAGCCTTCCGTCGTGGTCGCCTTGGCGAGCTGAGACAACAGCCATGAGGAGGTTTAGGTAGATTCACCGAATACTTATAACCACACCCACAGGGGGCGTGTCTTTTTAAACTTAAACTACGTCAATGAAATCTACTTGACGTCCTAAGAAGATTGATATGTTGCAAGACCAGGTTTAAGTTGATTCACTGCATACCAACGGCCACACCCGCAGGGGGTGTGGTTTACTAAATTTTCACTACGTCAGTGATATTCCACCAGGCGAGCTGAGAAAATTGATATGTCACATGACCAGGTTTAGTTAGATTCACCGAATACTTATAACCCCACCCACAGGGGGTGTGGCTTTTTAAATTTTAACTATACCACTGAAATCTAGCTAACGTCCTAAGAAGATTGATATGTTGCAAGACCAGGTTTAAGTTGATTCACTGCATACCAACGGCCACGCCCCCAGGGGGTGTGGTTTACTAAATTTTAACTACGTCACTGAAATCCCCTTGGCGAGCTGAGAAAATTGATATGTCACATGACCAGGTTTAAATTTATCCATTGGATACCGATAGCCACACCCACAGGGGGTGTGGCATATTGAAATTTGAAATACGCCACTGAAATCTCCTTACCCGCCTGAGAAAAATTATATGTCGCATGGCGTGCATTCGTAAGGTATTGGCAGAAGCGCCGATAACCACACCCCCTGTCGCCATGGGGTCTACGACAATGGAATGTCGTTCACATAGGGGGCCTTGGTAAGATTACGTGTATTGGCGACGTTGAATTTCGGAAACTACGGTGGGGGGAAATTTTTTTACTAAATTAAGTGTGTTGATTTGACATTTTACCACCCCCACAATGACTCCAAAGCAGGGGGTGCGGCCTACTAGTCGCTGAATATGATGATCTGACTATTTTCGCCAAGAATTTATCCCCAGGTCCGTCGAATCCAGTCGTAAAATTTTAAAATCCGATAAAGAAATGTTACTTGTTTTTTGACCTTGTGTCCAGGATTTCGAGGGGGTGGGGCCGAATTTGAAAAAATTGAAAATATATATTTCGCGCAAGGATCCAAGGTCTCCAAAATGTGCGCCATTTTGAAAATCCATCTAGAACTGACCGTGCTATTAATTTCGAAAGTTTACATGTTATAGCTTATGGAGAGGTCGGCCATTTAGCCTCCCGAGAATTCCCTTGCTCAGTACTTTCTGGATGAACGATAATTCTTTAACATAGTTCCAACTAATATTACTCACCGCAACACGCTTTGTAATCATCGGGTAGGTAATAATTGTCGCCGGTTGATTTACAAAGAATATTTTTAATATCGTCAGTAATTACGCTGCATCTGCTATTTTTTGTGGATATTCTTGCATAAACCATCAGGGATTTTGCCACACCAAACGTAGGAAAAATTCGGCCTAGCCATCCAATTATTTTTGACGTGTTTACCAAAGAAATGTCATCTTGTAAGACAAAGACTCCAATAGCAAATCCCGTTCCTGAAAAATATTATTAAATAAATTGGTATACATTGTATTTTCCTGCTTAGCATAATAATGTACTTTATTACCAGTGATAATATGTAGTATCGTTAAAAGTGCAAAACCGCCGGCGGGAGTTTGTGACAGTAGAGAAAGAAGATACGAAAATGAAATTGACCCAACCCCGTAAACGGCCATAATTAGGAAAGCAGCTCCTAAATATAGGATAAAATTAGAAATATATCCACGCCCAAGAACTTTTAAAACAAAATATCTACCAGCTCCTCCGTGGTTGGTGAATGCACGATAATCTTCGAAAATGAAGAGACATGCAACCATGACCGAGATGCAGATAAGCGTCTGAAAATAATCCCAAGTAAATGCTGATCCCCAGAAGACAAATGGATTGACCCCAGTCATTAACTGTAGTTGTTTGCACTTGCTTTTCCTCTCTTCAATGGGCATAACGACGAAGCTCGCAGCTAGCAAAGCTAAACCTATGGACACCAACACGCCAACTACAAAAGGGGCCACCTCGGAAAAGAAAGGGTCAGGCGATGCTGCATCGTAAATTTCCTGCATCCCAGAAGTCAAGGGGTGGTTGATAACTTCAATCCTTTTGGTTCCACCGCCACCGCTCAAAAAGTCCAGCATGGAATTTGTAATCAAATTGACAGAAAGAGGCTGGACGTGGCTAGGAATACTAGAGTACATTGCATTTAGGGATTCCACAGAATTTAATTCTGCTCCCACCAGGTGTCTTTGAAAATACGATTCCTCTTCATCTCGACCTAATCGCAAGAATTCAGAAGTCAGATTTACTCCTTCGGGTATTGGATAAGACTCCACGCCTTTTGACGAATCTGTAACTACAACTTTCGCATAACGTTCTCCCAAATCCTGGAAACGTTCAACAATTTGTTGTCAGTTTAATTTTATTTAAATTTATAAAATATTAAATACCTTGGAGTTTTGGTTCCCGGATATTGAAAATCTTGCAATTTGATTGTAATACGAATTTAAACTGATTACAAGCGCCGGAGTACGGTCGTTTGTGGCATAGGTTAAGTTGGTAATGAGCACAGCAGCAATAATAACCGCAATTGGAATAACCATTTGACACACGGTTAACTTCCATCGGCGAAAGGAATACATGATTTTCTTCAGCATGAGGCCCCAAAACTGTTGAAACAATAATGCCACTCCAGTTGACCTTCCTCCTGAAAGGTTATAATTAGCCAGTCAATATTTAGCAAGTACTGTTAAGGGTAAATCTTATCAACCTGAGGTTTTGAACGTTGACGGATCAAATCCTACTACATTTTCGGTTTCTGACGAATGACTCAATTCTTCGACTCTATACATGGAAAACTATATGGTCACTGAAAACATAAATATTTAGGTATAACAAGTATTACTTTATAAACACGTCATCCATGGTAGTTAAAGATATTGCCACATCAAGAATTTCCAATCCGTCTTGCTGAGATAGCAGTTGGCGAAACATTGTAGGGAACTGCGAGGTGGTAACTGCCGATGGCAAACTAATTTCTAAAACGGTCACGCCCTCGTTCAGTGCATTTGACTTTATAAATGCATCTGGAATATGTTGTTGAACAATTTGCAGGATAGTGTTGACAGTTCGGTCCGAACCTAACCCTAACGATAGCGTGTAACCGGTCCCTATGAAGTGGAATAAAATTAAAAATTGGCCTGAATATTCGTAATTTATTAACGTTGTTGTATGTCAAAACATTTCAAGTACCGTAGTATTTTTTGAGAAACTGCGGACTCCCACAACATTTCACCTGCCCGGATGCCATAATCCCTATTCTGTTTGCAAGACAGTCAGCCTCCTCAAGGAAATGTGTTGTTAAGATAATCGTTCGTCCATTCCTTATATCGAGAAGCAAGTCCCAAATGAATCTGCGTGCTTCGGGGTCCAAACCACTGCTGCACTCGTCGATAAACAAAACTTTGGAATCTCCAATAATAGCGCCACCTAGAGACAAGCGTCTTTTCTGCCCTCCGGATAAAGACATAGCCAGGGCATTGGTTTTTTCCACTAGTTGCAGTTTCTCGATTAATGGAGGAATTTGGCCTTCTGCTTGAGAGCTAGTTAATCCTTTTGCCTAAATAAAGTGAATTAGTAATGAATGCAAATAAATTCAAGAAATTTGAGTTCAATCTTTAATGACACCCAATCTTAAAAATAATTAAGAGGTTACCATTCCGAAAAATTTCAGTGTTTCCTTCACCGTTAATTTACTAAACAGCAGGTTGTGCTGAGGGCAAAGTCCAAGTGTCTGACGAATTTCGTCCATTTCTGTTTTTATATCTTTCCCATTAATCAATGCCGTACCTCCAGTCGCACTCAGGAGTCCTACATATAATGCCTTCTTTATTAATGAACTCATTGTAGAAAAACAGTTGTAAATTACCCGTAAGAACCGACATGGTGGTGGTTTTTCCTGCACCATTGTGTCCCAATAAGCAAAATATTTGCCCCTCATAAGCTTTAAAGGAGACGTCGTCCACCGCCAGCTTTTCTTGAAATTGTTTTCTCAATTTCAGTACCTCCACCCCTACCTTGAGATCTGGATTCGCTTTTTCAAAACTTTCTCCTTCTGAGGAGGATGTTTCTGATCGCAACGTCGCCACATCTTGATGCATCTTATCTTTTCTAAAACCCCATGTTGATGGCTGCATTGGAAAGGTTTTTAAATTATTTAGTAGTATTTAGACGAAACAAAAACATTTCCATAGACTTTTTACCATGAAGATAAAGTACCAAGGCTTGCGAACTCCGTACTTTGTGGGAAGGATACTTTCCAAATACATTGCAAGAAAGATATAAAGTATGGAAGCTATCAAAAGCATCAGCAAGACATGGCCAAGGGCCAGGGAATCTATGGAACTAGCAGATTTTCCAATATTTTTCCATTGCGCGCCAATCCCTTAATTGAATAAATTGTGTATGACAATACGGTAAGAAAACACCTTAGTAACAGTTATCATTGTATAGTATACCTTTCTTTGCCTCAAATGCAGAAAGAACTTTCAGTCCTATTAAAGAAAGATGTTTCAATCAACGAGTAGTTAGATATCCGAGTTAACCAGATTCGATCCAATCCAATCCTATCTAACCCAACAAAATTGGATCGATTCGGATTAGATTTTGTTGCAATAAATAATTTCGAACCATAATGCAGTCCCATATTTGGGCTGAGGCAAAGAAGCATTTTAACTGCTAAAGAGAGCCTTGAGTATCTTGATTCTAGGGGGAGAGAAACCCCATAGTAGGTCACAATCCAAACCACAATTCCTATCGTCGTAGCTAGAGTGGCTAAATAATTAAAAAATAATGTAATTATATTATACTATTTATAAATTTTTCCTTTTTTTCCATACGTCTTTCAAATATGGATGAAATCAAGAAGCAGTACGATGTCGCCCAGATGGCGTAGCAGAATAGAAAGAACCACCAAATGGTGGGGTCACTATTTTTTAACACGCCTCCAGTACTAGAGTTGAATGGAATGTACAGCAAAATGATGACCAAAGTAATGCTAATGATCAGCACAAGGAGGGAGTTGATCATCCAGCCAACCCTGCAACATAAAATGCTTATGAATTTAAAAGGAAGAAAGGTTCAGCACAAAATATTGTCGAAATAATAACCAATGCATCCAGTTCGGTATCCCCGTCATTTTCATCAGCTCCTAAGTATTTATATTGCAAATTTTAAATTACTTAAGTATTTAGTGAACCGCTATAAAAACAAAGTTCTAGGCCACACGGAACTGCCTTTCGGAAATTCGAATTTCGACGCCATCTTGCACTCTCCACCTCCCACTATTTTCTACAAAGGGTTACCATCGCCCCTTACATACGTCGTAGTTCGCCCTTAACAAATAAATATAGACTTGCCTTGATTCCAGTCTCTTTTTCAGAAACAATCCCCCGTACGATGGACGGGACGATGAAGATAAACCCAATAATCATAAGTTGAGGCATGAAGAGAAAGTAAAGTTGATTAAAATCAAACCCATCACTTGGAGGGCATGGCATTTGATTTGTGGAAACCTAAATAAATAAGTAGTTAAGTAGTTAACTGGTGCAGGGCTAATTTTTGTATTAGTATATTTAAATAAGCTGTTTCGAACACAATGCAGCAAAGGGACGAAGCGATATGGTAATGGCATTTGAAAACTATGTAGATGTCAGAATCAGAAATCCCCCCAAAACTTCATGTATCCAAAACCGTGGAGACAATAAATTCGACATCTGGGACCGTTGGTCACATCCCCGTGGCCCATATGCCTAATGACCTACTACGCCCATTTTCGAACTCATCCGTACTTGAAAAGTTAGGGACAAGTTGGCGAAACCAGCATGTCGAAATTAGAATCCGTTCTAAAGTTATCCTGGATTCAGACAGACAGATGACGGACAGATATACGGACGGACGGATAGACCGATGACGGTGGGACGGATGGACGGAGAGATGACGGACGCACAGACGACGGACGGACGGACGGACGGACGGATAGACAGACGACGGGCGGACGGAAGGACAGATGACGCACAGACGGGCAGAGAGAGGCACAGCTCAACAGACAGATAGATGGACACATAGATCGACAGATAGGCCGACGGAAAGTCAGATCGACAGACGGATCGATAGACATACAGACGGACAGACAAGACCTTTCCATAAAGCGATCTCGCATCGCTTCACCCCTTCCTAATGTAAGTACTTATATAATTGATTTACATACGTTATATTTGGGGAACGTTCCAGTTATCATTTCCGTAAGAATTTTATCAACCATAATTTGTACACCGATAAACCCAGAATATTCGTAATTGCTCCCTCCCATACCTAAGCAAACAATTTGTGCAAAAATAACACAGAAAATATAAAGAAATTGTTTACTATGTTCAAATATTCCCCTGTTTTAGTTAAAATTACCACAATCGGTGCTAAATACAATCCAGGGCATGAGATCAGTCGTTTCATAAAACCGATCAAGGAACCTCAGTTTGTAAGAAATTTTCTCTAATTTATCGAGGCCGTTGATAACCACGGCAAATTTTAACTTGTCAGGGTAATAAGTTTGAGATTGTTCTGCGACATAAGCCTCCAGTTCTTTCTCGGTATCAAATCCCAGCCAGTTAACTTCTAAGAAAAAAATTAAAATACAATTTCGAGAAAATACCTACATATATTTTATTAGAAGGGGATAGTATTTCAAAACTGTTTGTCAGTACTTACTAATAATTATGTTTTCATTGTCTGTCATATTTGTAAAAAGCTGTGTTTCAAGTTTTCCCGTGAAATCCTTCACTACCTGAGTGTTTGGAGAATATCCAAAATCGATCGTCCTATTGTAGAAATAATCGCCGCCAGAATAACCCAATAACTCGCTTTGTGCTCGGACCACGTGTTGCTAAGGCATTTAAATATAGGTGGAAATATTAAATTTTGCTTTTATCGAATGTAGCGAATGAGTGAAACCGACCACTTTATAACATTTTGCGAGGTGACATATGTACATATCAAATTTTACATTTGGTGTTAGTTATCAATTGACAAATAGGTATCTAGAAATTTCGTGATATGTGAGGTCAAAATGAAGGTCGTAATTTAATTGACAAATTGACATATATATGTATCAAGTTTAATAGTTGGTGACCTTTCGTGACCTATAAGGTCAAAAACGAGGTCATCATTGAATTCGGGATTAAATTTCAATTCAAATTGACATATCTGATTTGACGTTTAGTGACCTCTTGACCTTGATCTGTGTGACATACAGTATTTATCTTCGAACTAGACCGTAGTTTTTATAAGTATTTATGTTCCAAATTTAAAGTCAATGTTAAACGGACAGACGGAAGGACGGACATATCAATCTTATAAAGAGGTTTCACCGCTTAATAACTTTTCGTTCAAGTAAAAAAAATGAAATTTTAATTTTTAATTAATTTTAATTTAAGTTTGATAATTAATTAATTAACTAACCTCCTCAGTTACAGGTGGGAACACATTTTCCCTGATCGTACCGCTGGGATCACTTCGAAGTCTGGCTCGCATATAAGCCATAAGAATTGCGAATAAAGTGGGCAGAATTATTTCCAATGCGGTCACGATGTATTGGCGTTTCCGAAGAATTAGGTTTTTCCATACGAGAAGCCATAATCGACGAAAAACACTCTGCCCCATCTTCGCCAAAGTTTGGGAAAATTTCCCAAAGATTTAAGAGCAAATTTGTATGTAGCGAAAAATATATGTATGTACAGTGTCGGACAGATGTCTACGTCCACATAGTCGCGTCAATTTCATTTTCAAATTGTCACTGAACTACTGAACCAATTTTCATCATTGATATATAAAATTCTCACAAATTTAACGTAATTTCATAGCACATTATTAGTTTTCCGCTAAAAAATTTATTTTAGGCCAGAGATGTATTTTAATTCAAAATGAAAACAATTGGATGGACAAAAATCAACGTCCAGTCAGAGAAAACATACAAAAAAAACTGTAATTTATAAGGAATGTTATAACAATTAATTTTTAATATTTGGTTGGGCCTCCGTTCGCTTTAAGGACGGCTTCAAGGCGTCGAGTCATAGAGTTTACCAAATTCTTGGTCACATCTTCAGAAATGGTTTCCCAAACTTCACGAATTCTGGATTTTAGGCCCGGAATTCCTGAAAAAGATTTTTTTCTTATTTCTCTTTCAATGTGGTCCCACAGATGCTCAATGGGATTCAAGTCTGGAGATTGGGGAGGCCATTCTAGCTTCGGAATTTTTTTTTCTTGAAGTATTCCATGGTGGACGTGGCAGAGTGTTTCGGATCGTTGTCTTGTTGGAAGGCAAATCGTCGTCCAAGTCCAAGTTTTCGAACAGATTCCTGGATATTACGGTCAAGTATTCCCTGGTACTTGTATTGGTCCATAATTCCGTCAACAAATTCCATTTTTCCTGCCCCACTTGAAGCCATGCATCCCCACACCATTACCGACCCGCCGCCGTGCTTAACTGTGGGGTTGAGATTTTTTGGATTCAAAGCTTCTTTTGGATATCTCCACACTCTACGACGCCCATCTGACCCAAAGACATTGAACTTTGACTCGTCAGTCCATAAAATATGTCCCAGAATGTTTGTGGCTTGGAAATGTGGTCTCTGGCAAACTTCACTCGTTTGGTTGCATTCCTCGGTACAATAAGAGGCTTCCGGACTGCTCTGTGGGATTTCAAATTTCCCTTATTCAGTGTTCTTTGGATGGTCATAGGACTAACCTGTTTGCCGAACATCTCCTTGATCTCGGTAGATAGCTTTGGAGCACTAAGTGAGGGTGTAACGTTGACTTTGTTGAGCACGTGGCGTACTTCTCGGTGAGCCAAAATCGGTTTTCGACCACTTCTGACCTTGTTTTGGACTGAACCATTAGCTCTAAAGTTCTTAATGATTGTCTGGATGGTTGTTCTTGCTAATTTATACTTGGTCCCTATTTGTCTCTGCGACAGCCCCCCTTTTTGTCCACCCTTCCAGTCCTGAATGACAAGATCTCGAATAGCGATAGGAATTTCCTTGCGTGTCGACGCCATCATATTTTTCTGGAAGAAAATTATTTAAAAATTAATGCGGCATATGTTATTGATAGATTTATTAAGTTACCTGATTTTATAAATTGGAGAGATTTTTGTTGTTGACAATTAAAGTGAAGTGGACGTAGACTTTTGTCCGCTCAAATTTCATCCTCTCTCGCTCTGCACTATGATTCTCAGTTTTCCCAGAATTTTCAGAAATAACTCATATGTTTTATGAAATTACGTTAAATTTGTGAGAATTTGATATATCAATGATGAAAATTGGTTCAGTAGTTCAGTGACAATTTGAAAATGAAATTGACGCGACTATGTGGACGTAGACATCTGTCCGACACTGTATGGATCGGAGATTTCTGAAGTGGGAATGAATCATTTGCTGAGTAACGGGTAATTAATATGTGGCAAATTGTCTGTAAGTGGAAAAGGTTGCGATTACGGGGTGTGTTATCTGCATAAGTGTGTTATCTATGTACGTATGTACGTATATATATTACTTTTTTATCTGAAACATGAACAAGGCACATATTTCATTTAATTGACGTGGTTGCAACCAAGGTTCGCTACTAGGGTTTTGTGGGTTGGAGTTTTAATGGTTTTTGTGGGTTTTCTAGGGGTCATATCTCCGAGAAAACAATCTAATTCTTAATCGGGTTTGTGTGGATTTTACCAGCATTTTTGAAAAACTATTGGAAAGAATGAGACAAAATTATTTAAACTACAATTTACATCAAAATATATATGTATGAACATCTGATTTTCCGATTCAGTATGAAATTTTGAGCATTTTATAAGTGACTTAAATTTCCAAGTATTATTACATGTTCCCTATTTCGTTTACGTGTGAAACATGAACTTTTGACTTAAAAGTCCAGGTCTATAAAAACATTTAGTATACTTAGCATGCCAAATTTGAATATTTATGTAGTTAGGTAGTCTTACTTCCATTTTACTTTAATTTTAGAAAATTTCCTTCAACCCGCCCCAAAATCTAATGAATCCCATAAATACCACGGAAAGAAAACAGGGGTTGTGTTTTTTCTAGAAAATCCCGATGTTTTCGGAACCCTTGTTTGAACACAGTCATTTGAAAGTACCTCGTAAAATTTGCGGATGTACCTATATTTGCCAGATTAATTGAATCCATTGGGTAGATAATTATTGTACAATAACCCACAATGTGTATGGCTCAAGTGTATTTTAAATTATAAACGAACTTATTAGTTGAAGAGTATTATATATTCATCATTTTAAAGTAAATGATGCGTAATTTTTGCCAAATTTGTTCCTATAATTTGACTCATATTAGATATAGCCTAAAGGGTGTTGAATAAATTCGCCAACATTTCTTACTTCAAAGAAAATGCTCGCTTTTGAAAAGTAAAGGTATGACTAAAGCCAACTTGTTTTGAGAGAAACCTTAGTAATTGGTCATTAAACAATGGACTTTAATAATGCCCTCAACTCTTCGAGTCAGGCTCTGTGCAGCTTAATATTAGCTGCGCACAAAACCCACATACTACCACAACTTCAATATTAAACTTCATGATCCTCATTAATGATTGACCGGATTTTTTTGCTGTTCTATATCCTCTATTTTGTTAGTGTAATTTTGGATATAACGTAATTTGAGATTCATCCGTGCAAAGGATGTGACGAGGAAATTCTTTAGGTCGTCGAATACACACTTTTTTAAAGAGCTTATGCGAATGCCGTACGGTCAGCATTATTTTTGGAGGACGAATGATTTTTTTTGGTTAGTCTGCAAGTTCTGTGACAACATTACGCAGATCCGACGACAATTTTCACTATAATGAACTATTCATATTTGATTTTCGTTTAATCCGTTTTCCGTTTTTCCACTGCCTTGCACCATTTGGACAAGAACTTCTAGTTTTCGGATAAATTTCAGCATATCCTTTGTTTTCTTGGTAGATCGAACCAACTCGGGTTGTTCATGCTGTTTTTTATCCTTGAAAAAGTTTTGTTCGCGCATTACCACGAACTTTTACCAGTGCATCCGAATTTTGGTGGAATTTGTATTTATTTGAATCTCCCGCTCCTAAGCATGGCATGCCAAATGTTAAGATGCTTATAATTAGGACTTGTCTTGCCTCCAACCATGGTAAAAATTTCAAAGAGAAATATTAAAGGGATCCATAATTATAGCCGTTTTGTTCCGAGCCCGGGCCGAAAAATTGATGTTTGCGAATTAAATCAACACCCTTTAAAATGAGGTTTGGTCTAGTAAAAATCATTTCAATAGAGTTTTTCATAGATGGGAATTTTTTGTGATATTAAATATCTCAATTTCACATTTCTGACCATTTGGTGCTTTATGTAAACTTTCGCAAATTGCGAAATATTTTAAACCTTTCTGAAAATCGTCTGGTGGTCAGATTTTTGCGAAATCCAGTCACCTACAAAATAATGTTTTAATGTATCATCCTGTATTCGCCCAGTTGGGAACGTCCATAGTTTACGTCATCATTTTAGCGTGTGGGTGGTTCAGTTCTTCCAATCCTCTCTGTTAAAATTACGTATCCCATAATGTATGCATATCTACATTCGGCGGGTGATTGTTAAAATCGAGAATTTTTGATGACGTGATATATGAATGGCCCCATTCGCAGTTTGTGCTACATATCTGACTGCCTTCTCTTCGCTGACTTGGTTATTATAACTGATAAGCTAGTTGTAGGTTATCTTTCACACTCGTAAAATGGTTAGTCATACATAACTCATGCATGTTTATGTCATGCATACTTGTCCATGTGGTATCCCTTCCCGTGTAACATGGAGCATATACACAGGTCCCCTGAGGAGGATGGGGGTTAAAATTCTCCGAACATCGAACACACCATATCCATGTTATAATTAACATGGGAAGGATAGGATGCCTTGCCCCCCACCCTTCCCCCACTCAAACGGATCACATGCTTCCTGCACAGTCCCTATCTTGCATTTCATTAGTCACTCATATTAAATTGGTATTCAGTCCAAAGTGCAACATTCCACCAGAAGGCAAAATAGCTGAGTAGAAAATTCTTAGAAATGTTTTAAAGCTAAGGGGTCGTGCACACGGCTTTAGAGGAATTTTGACCCTTACCTCACACGGTGCGACGATACATATTTTCAATGTCGTAATTACAGAATAATATGCGAAGGATAGGTTGCCTTGACCCATAGCATTACTCGAAACGATCACATACTTTCTGCACAGTCCCTGAAACTGGGGACCCGAAAAGAGACAAACTCGTAATTAAACAATCTTATCTCGTAACTTTTATGCAGTCCAGACCATTGAATGGCAGAGTAATCTCAACCTCACTCATTATCAAATTTCTGTTATCAAACTTCTTAACAAATGCAGGACTGTGCTTCAGTGAAGTGTGGACAGTTAATCATATCATGGAGACATCGGTACGGGAACGTTCATATATTACGTCATCATTTTAGTGGGCTTCGGTCTTCTTATCTTTCCCATGTTAAATTTCTATATCTCTTAACCTTTTAAGCATTTTGACCATGTATGTCATGGCGAACAATTTTACACGAAGTGCCGGACGAAAACACAACAATTAAAAAGATCCGTCCTTAGTTACATATATCAATTTTTTACGAAATTTATTAAGTAATTATTGTCGACTTTTAATCACATCGCAACGTTAAAATATTCGGATTACATCCAAAGACTGACTTTTTCTCGAGTCGTGATTTTTAGCCCGAACCAGGGCTTATGTAATTGTCATGTCAGTCGAACTGTCGAACGAGTTAACCAATTTTGACCAAATTTGGTGCAGACATGTATCTGGGCAATGCAACGACCGAGTTAGAAGATGGGTTCGATCAGAAAAGTTTTGAACCGGTGGGGGTCATATAAGTGGGTAGGGTATTTTGCACCAAAATTTCAAAATTGTTGTAGAGAGCTGAAATATGATACAGAGGTTGCTAATGGCTCCTAATAGAAAAAAATAACTTCAGGTTGGAAAAATTTTAATCTTGAGGGACCCTGTGGGGTGACCCATACTGATTTTTAGAAATTACTTTAAAAAGATGAAATCCGGCACAATGGTACTTAATGGCTTCTAATTAAAGAATATGAAGTTAAAAGTGAGTAAAGTGCAACCAGAGTGACCCTATGGGGTGACCCATACTGATTTTTCAAAATCATTATATCGAGCTGAAATTTGATATGGAGGCTGAAAACCACTGCTGGATAGCACATACATACAGCTTAGAGCTTCAGGATGTTAAAGAAGCCCACTGGTCATGGTGGTCAAGACACATGATCTGTAACTTGCTCAAAAATTTGGGACCAAATAATAGAAACTATCTAACAAACTTTTAACCATCCACAACACGGAAGTTGGTGATATTATGTTGGTCAATTCGGAAAAAAATTTAGAAGCGGGCTCTGACTTATTGAGTCAGGGACTATGTTCCTGACTCGGGCTATATGGAGTCTGCACTGTAGGTTTTATCTATTAGGAGCCATTAGCAACCTCTGTGCCAAATTTCAGCTTTCTACGACAATTTTGAAATTTTGGTGCATAAGACCCCACCCACTCAGATGACCCCCACCGGGTAACCAGTTAACCGATTTCGCCCATCTTCGAACTCGATTCCTAACTTTGTCCAATATGCACATGGTAAAAATTTCAAGTCGGTAGCTTGTGTTTAAAGAGAGTTATCCTGTTTACGGACGGACGGACGGACGGACATGACGGTTCCATAAGCCCTGACTCGGGCTAAAAAGCTGTGGAAATTATTATTTTCGACTTCCATGTATGTCATGGTCAAAGTATTTTCTTGCAAAAACAATCGCCATGACTTTGATGGTATTGGTCCTGCAATGCAAATTTTTGCGACCATGACTAACATGGTTTTGGTCTTTCGATGTGTAAAAAATATGACATGAACACCATGGTTTAGGAAACTTGGTGTAAAATTTTTCTCCATGACATTCATGGTTAAAGTTCATTCCCCATTTTCGACTATAAAATGTAAATGCTTAAAAGGTTAATATCTATGTTTAACGAGTGGTTGCTAAAATCAATAATTTTTGATCACGTAGTATATGGATGGCCCCAATAAGCAGAGACGTCAATCCTGACACGTAGACATATCAAATCCCTTCCGTGTTTAAAACTTAGTCACATCACAAAGTCAAAACTAATCTATAAATTCTCACTTCGTTCCAAACCTTCCACCAGTTACAGCATCAAAAAATATTTTGGAATAATACTCACCTCAAACTCTTAGAAATTATAAACTAAAAAGATTTATACTTATAAAAAATTTGTTAAAATGTCCCAAGCACAATTATTATCCGTCCCCCGGCCCCCCGCCGAGGTCAAGAGGACGGCTGTAGGGTCAACCCGCAATCCGGAGACTTTATTCAGACATTTCGTCCGAGAATATTCCGAATGCGGTATTTCTCTCAAAGCTGCAGCTTGTTGCGTCGCCATTTTGGAAATTGTAAGAAAAATCGGGATTTTTTTGGATTTTTTAAATAAAAGTAGTCGCATTTCCAAAATATGATACAGCTTTCTTTCAACACAAGTCGCCGAGCTGGGAAAATCTTGATTAAAGTGATTAAGTTTAGGATTAATTAATCTTAATCCATAATCTTAATCAAAACATTTTGTCATTTTAGTAAATACTTTTATGTAATCTTAATTTTGTACGCCGACTCAATTAAGTCTAACTTTTAATTTCAATACCCCACTTCAATCCGAATATGTAAATTTATATAAAACCAATTTACCACAAAAAACTCTAAAAACAGGAAAAATTGAATCCATAGAAACTAACATTATTAATCTAGATTAATGAATTTCCAATTTTTAGTCTTAATCCAAGTCATCATAATAAATTAATCTTCATAATTTAATTTAGCAGCTGTCGGATAATTAAATCTTAATCTCTGATTCGGGAATTTTTACTCTCAAATCTTACATAATTGCCAATTTCGAAATAGATTAGATTAATTTCCCAGCTCTGACATACATAATTTTTAATTTGTATCCATATAATTTTTTCAGCTCTTCTTCGCCTGTATTATGCTGACTACGTCGTACTTCTACATTTTTGGTGAACGTCACGCACGTCTCAATGCGATCGTTATTGAGAAGGAAAAAAATTCTGGTTAAAGTTCATATAAAATGCTTACTCAGACAACTCCTTAATCAACTTTCGCATTTTTTCCAGTCTCGACCATCTCCGAGGGTCTCGTGATTTTTGGATTTGTCGTCGCTGTGATCCTGGGTTTAATCCATCTCAGACTTTTGACTGGAATATACCAGGTGAAATTTCCCTTGTATTTGAATGTTTAGTTCAAGACTGGTGACTGAAATTTGCGGGGACGTCGTCCATATTCTACGTCGTCATTTTATTGGACGGGTAGTTCACTTAGGTTTTCTTATCGTTCCCATGTTGAATTTCCCTATCCCCTAACGTTTACGTTGGGTGGGTAGGTGCTAAAATCAAGAATTTTTGATAATGTAATATACGGATGGCCCCACAATAAGATGATTTAGAGATTTAAAGAAATTCCTATTCTGAGACGAAATAATAATTCATCTTATTAATATGGGATAGATAGAATTTTCTACGTGTGAGGGTCAACTGTAGAGTTAAAGATCAAACAAAATTGCTTCTAAAATGAGGCGAAATGTATGGATGGTCCCAGAACAAATTAAGTGGAAATTTCAAGAAATTAATATTCTAAAACAAAAAAATATCTGGGATAGATATTTAGAATTTTCTGATTTTCTTGGTGTGAGGATCAACTGTATTTAGGGTTAAAAATAAAATAAAAATGGTTTCATAACACTTTTTTAACATTTAATTTCAGGCAAACTTCGAGGCTATCACGGGCTGCTGGGCAGCTATGGTCGCCTTCTTCATCGCTTTTTTTGGATTCATGATTCTTGCACATATTAATGAAGGTAAAAATCTCCACATTCCGAAAGAAGAAGTTTTCATAACGTTGTCCAGTTTCTACGCAATTTGGCTCGTGGGTTGCTTCCGAGTTGAAATGAAGGTCAAGATGGAAGCCAAGAAATCCAACAACGCTGACAACCTTGATACTCTTAGGATGATTGAACTTATTTTATTGAACTGACATCAAACTGATAATTGGACTCATTTATTTTTGTCAATTTACAGTACGATGGTGTCAAGTGTAATCCTCCGATTTGGGTCAAATTTTTAAATTATCTACATACGTGGCCCGTCAAGTTAATCAACGTTTATTGAGGTAGTATCTGCTATGGTTCGAATTTCCCTAAACTATTTGAGGTCAAATTTGAAAAATTGACCAAACGCCGGAAGCAAACCCCACTCTAATTCCCTTAGTAGAGAAAAATCACCCATTTTTTTAACTTTGCCGTCAAATATTTTGCCTAATTCCCGTCATCGAACAATCCGCCTGAAGAAACGTTGCTCGAATTTACTTGGACCACGTAATTTTAAAATTTTAACTAAATCAGAGGGTTGAACTTCACACCATCGCATTGCTAATGGAAGGTTGTAGTTCCTGGCCCGTAAGTCTTTATTCAGTTAAATTTAAATATAGGAAAAGTGAAAGGATAAGGGCTCACTTGTAGTACTTAGAGGGGCCGGATTAGGCCTTTTTGTCAACGTTTCGACCTCAAAGGGTCTTCTTCAGGACGACGAAGAGGATTCTTGAAGAAGATTCTTGAGGATTCTTGAGGTTGAATCCTCTTCGTCGTCCTGAAGAAGACCCTTTGAGGTCGAAACGTTGACAAAAAGGCCTAATCCGGCCCCTCTAAGTACTACAAGTGAGCCCTTATCCTTTCACTTTTCCTATTATATTCTCACTGCACAATTTACATATTAAATTTAAATATATACAATCAAATAATTTACATATTTATGTATACACATATTATTATTGTAACTTAAATTCCATACAAAAATGTACTTTAATCCTGCATATTAGATGTTTTCATTTAACTTTTTTAATTTGTTACTCGTCATAAAAATTCTAAAATCTTTGTGAAATGAAATGTTAGTTAGAAAAATATGTTTCTCTTGTCAAAGTTGTAAACATTTTTCAATAATACTTAAAATTAACTTTGACATATTTTATTATAGTAGTAGTAGTATCATTATTTAGTATAAGTTAATTTAGGTATAGCCCAGCTTATGTGTAATTCTATCTTCATCCACCTTCAAAAACGTGTGCCCTTTACGTATAAAGTATTGATTCTAAAGGTCATAATTTCGTGTCCTAACTTCATAATTTACAAAGTATTTCATTATTCATTTTGTACAAAAATCAGGTCTACACAAGATTTTTCCAACATTTCAAAAAAGTGTTCTTAGTTATCACTTAAAATTGATTAGTGTAATTATGGCTTGCTTATAAAGTGGAAGGAGATACTCAATAAAATTTTTCAATAAATAAGGGATTAAATTGATTTTATTTTGGTGTTTGGAAATTACTCACAAGGGGGGTCTCCCAACGTATGCTCACAGATTCGGATCAAATTAGTGTTAATCGATCACAAATATATGCAATTAGTATGAAATTTGTAAATGAATTATCTGCGAATGCGCAGGTTTGGCAGAGATATTTGCATCCAAAGCAGGAAAAAATGCTTAGCAAATTTGGAAGTTCAAACTTCTGCCAACCCTGGAGGGTTCTTCTCTTGTTATGCAAATATCTCCGTTAAACTTGAGCTTTTGCAGATAGTGGCATTTGAAAATTTCATACTAATTGCATATATTTTTTGATCGATTAACACTAGTTTGGCCTAAATCTGTGAGCATACGTTGGGAGACCTCCATTGTAATCAAGTATGCTGGAGGTTTATGTACATAAACCGTGAAATTGGCCACTGCATGTTACCACATTTTTTCGCTATCAGGAATTCTGGAGCTTATCATGCAACAATTTCAAGCTTCCATATCTTATCTTGTTGCTAACCTAAATACACCATGACGATGTCAAGTAAATGCGCAGTTTACTGCAATTATATTCAGTCCTCACACCCACTCACTCAACTTTATAGAACGTAATAAAACTAGTTTAAAATATTGGACTTCATAGAAATGGATCCTGACGTTCCTGCAGAATCACTTACATCTTGGTTCGATTATCTTAAGCCTAGTACTCAGGACGAATGTTCACGCGGAATTTCATCGTGCTTAAATTCTGTTAAATTTTTCGCTGGAGAGAAATTCGTAAGCGGGCAGAAAATACCATTATTCCACGTATATTTCGCTCAATTTTCACTCGTAGGTACTCAGGTCATTTGAGCTGAAAAACAGGTTTCATTTTGCCCCATTTTAAATTAACCGCCTTGCCATTGAGTTGAAACTGAGATTTTGAGGTTGCTCCGCCCTCTTATTTTGAACTCAGAGGGCCGCGAGTCACTTTCCGCTCACATTTCACGTGAAAGAATTGCCTCGATTTAACGGAAACTTTGAGCTTACATTGAGCGTAAACTGCTCGCGCGGAAAATTCCGCACAAGTTTCACGCGAAGACCTGAGTACCACTCGGGCTTAAATTGAGCAGAATTTCTGCAAAAGTCGTTTTCCGCGCGTAAAGTCCATCGTGAGTACTAAGCTTTACGTTGGAATCTTTTCTTGGATCTGGGTCATATGGCTACGTTTTCAAAGCGGTAATTTTAAGTTTCTATTTGAAGTGTTTAGTATATATGTACATATATACATATGCATATCGTCGTTGAAGCTGCCAAAAGGGCCATCTACATTTTGTGTCAATTGCCAAAATGGCCTTCTCCCAAAACGAAATTTTTCAGGAGAGCATAAAAACAAAAAATACCTATAAAACGCAATATTGCTATAATTACGCACATATAGACAACTTTTATCCACTCAAATAAATTGTTAACAACAAATGAGTGTATTTACAACTATTTATCAGTTTATTTACTAATTTTTACGAGACAAATCGTCATGAGATGCATGTAACTCAATAGCAATAACAGATTTTTAAATTTTGTTCTCCGATTTTGATGCCCTTTGCATATGTTGTAGTACTGGGGGAGTGTAGGAAAAGTGAAGGAGGGTTTGCCTCCATGGCCCCGTTTGCGCCCCCTCAAAGAGTCAAATAAACCTGTTTTCGCTGGTTTAAATCTTCACCAAAAATTCAGTTTTTCTCATATTTCGAAAATTCTGGTACTATTGTAGTCCCAAATAGTTACTTTATCATGCACAGTATCAAATTTAACTTCTTTGATATTCTGATTTTTTTAGAAAATAAAATTTCGAAAATCTTTCGAAAATTTAAAAGATAGAATTTGATATCGAATAGGATAACACAACTATCCAGGACTAAGGAAATGTAGGAAATGTCAGAATCTGAAGAAAATAGGATTTTTGGTGAACAATTAGGCGAGCGAAAACAGCGTTTTCTTGCTTTTTGAGGGGGTGTAACAGGCGCAAATGGGGTCATTAAGGGAAACCTTCCTTCACTTTTCCTGCACTTACCTAGAATTACCACATACCAAAAAATCTTCGGAATCAGAGATTCATACAATAAGGTGTCATATGCACCTCAATTACTCTCGCTTCCAACGCTAATTTAGGAAGTTCCCTTTCTAAGATTCGTTGGTTGGACTTATCTTGTTCAGAAAATTCTGTAGAATTCATTGACCCTAAAATCTCAGTACCCCCCAAAAGTGGACTTGGCCCCTTTGCCTATTGACACAAAATGGAGAAGGCCCTTTTGGCAGCTTCAACGACGATATTGAGCTACAAAAATTATTTTTCAAGTAATATTTAGACACGAAATCGTAAACGTTATCTTAAATTTGGAATAGAGCTGCACCGAGTAGTGAAAAATGAGACTCGGCCGATTACCGAGTACTCGGCCATTCTTGAAACGAGTACTCGGCCCAGCACCGAGTAGTTCATATAAATTGAGCAAAATTTAATAACAATGAATATCTCCCAGCGTAATCTACCTAATTTTGATGGTATTAGTGTCGTTACAATTATTTAGACAGGCTAGGCGGAGATATTTGCATACAAAGAGGTGAAAATGCGTCACAAAGTTAACAAATGGTGCAGTTTTCAAATTCAGTCTCCTATTCAGATACAAATAACTATCCGGATACAAACATAAACGTAATTCACCTACGTATAAAGAATCTAAATTTGTAGCTGCAGTGGCACGATCCTGTTTAGTTGCGAATTTATGTGTTCGGAAACTAAACGCAAACCACGAGCTACATCATGTCGTAAGACGATGACTACCTAACCTGACCGAGTTGTGTTCTGCATGATGGATTCCTTTGGTCGTCTCAGCCCACATTTGCTTGGCATAAAATGTAGGGGCAGATTCGGAAGGACCTGAAAAAAAATTAAAAATTTTAGCTCCAAAAAAACCAGCAACTGCAGCGCCAATAGCTAGTTGTCGTTTAGAACGCGCAGGGGGAGAAATTGTCCCATTAGGAATTATGGTCCTCGTTTCGCGTCGACCTTTCGTTGGAGAAAACAAGTTGCCGACGTCTGACGAAGTGATGTTGGTTGTCACTTCTGGCAGTGGGTTCTCTTCTTCCGAGCTTTCTTCATCGATGGGTGGGGTGGGGGGAACTTACGGGGGAGATGGGCGTCGACGAATGTTGTTATCGTCGTTATTGGTGTTAGTGTTGTTGACCCGTTGGGGTTGGGAGGCTGGGTTGTGCTCCTCTAACGTGAAATTAAGAGGATCTGTGGGTTGGTGAATTTTAACAGCGCCACCGGTCACCGAAGATATCATTCTATTTAGATGATCAATTAAGGAAGCAATGTTAGTTGTTAAAAGTGGTTTAAATACGCAAGGAGCGTGCCATTTCACGGAGCTCGAGCAGTGCGTCGACATTGAATTTGAATAATAAGAGTGCTGGGGGTAAAGGAAAGGTGCAATTGAAAGTAGATGGGAGTGGTTTCGGAGTACACAGTGACAGAGTCAGGAGTCATGCGTATGTAGGCGCCTGATACGATGTGCGTTCGTGGAGAAAGCATGACATCTCCTCCCGTTCCGCTAGTAGGCAAGTCCGTAAGGTAAGAGGATGGAAGAGTAGATAATAACCCCAAGAGGAGTGAAAGTTCTGAAAATTCCATTTCTAGGGAAAGTAGAAAAGCATTTAATTAGTTTGGTGAGAACCGAACTACTGGCTTAACTAAGCGACCATAGCGCGTTCTCGGGTGGTCACTGTACGCTGGTGTTGGTGTTGTGGCTAATACTCGAGGCGGAGGGAGTGAAGATGAATGATTGGGTGGGATAAAGGTGGAGGTATCATCAGCGATGGATTCAGATATTATTGGGATCTCGTCATTGAAAGAAACAGAATTGGCTCGTGTAAGTGGAGTATTAGTCTCGGTGGGGATTATGGTGCATCCAGTGAATACAGATCACTTAAAGAAGGATGAAGATATGGTTATTGTTTCAGTATAGGGAAATGGGGTTCCAAATGCTGTGATTGGCTGACGGTTTTTATGGGCATCCGCCCATAAAAACCGGGCCGTGGCACAACTCAATTTTTCCCAATCTCAATTTCCCCATTACTTGGAAATCTCACTCCTTTCTTGGCACCAAAATCAGGTGTCTCCTTTACCATCATTCTTGCTGCCAAACTCGGAAAAGCTGAGTAATTAAAAGATTATTTAATATCCTACAAATTAATTTTCTGACATCCACTCAACTACATAAATCGCTTCAACTCACCACAAGTTCAGCTCTAAACTTCAACTCTAGGTAAGTAGTAAAGTAATTACTATTTTCTTTTAGCAATGAACGGTGGGGACGCAAATATGGTGGTGACACGTTCATTTTTACGAGTGATTTCGATGTTAATTTATTGTGGTTTATTGGTATAGGTAACTGCTAACGACAATTTTTCATCGATTAATTTTGCGACCTCTCTGCCGTGCCCTCACCAGAAATCTGTGTCATATCCGGCCAAACTGGTAAATGCAAACTTTAACTCTCCAAAAATAAGGACCAAGGAATTTGTATTTTGTAATGCACTATATTTTGTTTAATTATAGACTCAATTACCATGAGATGTTGCTCGTGACCTGGTAACAGTGTGAAATTGTCGGAAACTTCTTTAAAGTTTACCAGGTTCGGCCATAATATTAAACAATAACTTATATAATGAACGGTGGAAACACATACATATACATAATGTATGGTGAAAACACGCTCATGGCTGGAAATGAATTGCCACCAAATTTATTTTTGTGAATTGCAGATATAACATTTGTGCAGATTGTTTCCCAATTTTGTGATCTTTTACCCCTGCATCCACCAGAAATCCGTGTCTTCGCCGGTCAATTTATCCAATCTATCAGTGTGTGTTTACAATGTAAATTCAAATTATTCACAGCCACTCTTTCGTTACCAATGTGTAGTCTATAACTAAAACGTGTTCAATTTTATTACAGATTCGCCTTGTCGGCCAAAGAATGGTACTTAAATGAATGGAACTTTGTCAAGAACATTAAAAAACTTCGTTTAAGGTAAATTTTATTTTGATGTTAATAATAGTTTCTATCTAGAACTAAGACAATAATGAACGGTGGAGACACATAAATATGGTGGATACACGTTCATATATGTTGCAAGCAGGCTTTAAATTAATATTCGCTTGTTATTTTTCGCAGGCTACCAAGATGGTCAGAATATTTATTTGGATGTAACAAATCATCTTTTCAACATGGTCCGAAATAAAAAATGCTGCGTTCCTAACTGTCATAATTCATTAAATGAAGAAGATCACAATTCGTCCTTTTTCAGTCTGCCAAAGTGCCCGAAGAGGTATAGTTTCCCATGCAAAATAACTTATTCGTCTCATCGTTAATTTGAGTATTTTTAAAGGTGTCAGGAGTGGTGTGACATTCTCGACATCGATAAGGAAAACGTGTCACCTAAAACGATTGTATGCAGCAAACATTTTCATCCACCTCCAAAACATTGCAGACTTGTTAAAGGAGCTTTGCCGATTGCTCCACCTCCCTTCGTGTCCTCACCGATGGGGGGTGGGGTGAATCATCAGAAGCTTTCCCCCGAGGTGAAGAAGAAGATTAAGAGTATAAGAAATAAGCTTTACTACAGGAGGAAGAAGAAGGACCAGAACCTTATTAAACTCCAGCCAGAGCGGTGAAGACGCAGCTTGAGGAATGGTGGCCAACAGTACGCCATCGTCAGACTTTGATTTCTTCGCGTCCTGGTCGCGTTGACGGGCCCTCCTTCTAGTTTTGTGATGCAAAACCGTTTTCACATTCTCCAGCTCGTCAAGGTCACAAATGTGGAGCAGGCGTTTGATGAGGCCGACTCTTTCTTCTCCTCGTGCAGTCGATGCCCAAGCCACCGCCTCATCTTGTACCGTCCAGTCTCCCATGATTTCGACAAGGTGGTTGGTCAAGGCTTAAAAAATAATTACAATTAATTTAAGCAATTAATAAAAAATACCATTGCAAAGGAGGACAAAATTTGACCCATAATTTTTTAAAATGTATCGAATGAAAAAATACCGATAGAAAATGTGAAATCGGATATTTCGGCGTTCTGGCAGAAATTCATGTGCTTTAATTACCGTTAGCGACGGCCCAAATAATTAGCGCTTCAAAAATGAAGGTTTTTGAAGCTCTCGAAGCAATTGTCGTAACCTTGTATTATGATAAATTGTCAAACAATCTTGGTCTCGTCCAAACTCTGTAACAATCAAAATTTAAGGATTATAAGCCGTTCTTAAAATGCATTTTGTTGTTATTTTAAACGTATTGAATTATATATTACCTCCAACTCTACAATTTCAGGGTAGATCTTCTCACAGATCAATTGTGCCACGCGATCACCTTCATTAATTTCGAAATCGGCGTCCCCAAAATTGAACAAGATTACTCCCACATTTCCACGGTAGTCTTCATCAATCACTCCAGCTAGTAGATGAAATAAATTTAGTTGCTAACACTCCTTTAATCAACCTATCATTCATCAACTTGATTATTACCTCCAACATCAAGCTTGTTCTTTAAAGCAAGGCCTGATCGTGGTGCGACTCGACCATAATATCCGGACGGAAGTTTAATTTGAATGTCCGTCTTGACCATACAGGAACCACGGGCAGGTACAGTGTATTTGTAAGCACTGCAAAAATAAAAATGTATTATGATAAATTGTCAAACAATCTTGCCTCCAACCAACTCACCTAATAACAACGATGATGACGGTGGTGATGCTTGGTTTGGTGTGACCTTATCACTGTCGTTAAACTTAATTTCGCAACGTCAATTAAAATATTATTGGGAGAAAAGATGTTGAAGAATGGAGTGAGATGTAGGGCAGCTGACGACGTGGAGTAAGTGGCTACGGCTTCACCTGCGCGGTTTCACAAATACATGAGGATATTTGAACTGTGAACCAGCCAATCCCATCATTCCAGCCCCGTCCTATACTGAATAACTAACATTGGAACTGTTTATCTCTATAGGATACCATGATCATTGTCGTGCATCTAGAAAGTATTGAGCATTGGCCACTGTTAATAAATCCAAAAGGCTAAATGGCCGACCTCTCCATAAGCTATAACATGTAAAGTTTCGAAATTAATTGCACGGTCACTTGTTGATGGATTTTCAAAATGGCGCCCGTTTTGGAAACCTTGGACCTTGGGGAGAAATATATATTTTCAGATTTTTCAAATTCGGCCCCACCCCCTCGAAATTTAGGTCACAAAGTCAAAAAACAAGTAACACTTCTTTGTCGGATTTTAAAATTTTACGACTGGATTTGATGGACCTGGGGGAAAATTCTTGGCGGAAATAGGCAGGTCATCATATTCAGCGGCTAGTGGGCCGAACCCCCTGCATTGGAGTCATTGTGGGGGTGGTCAAATGTAAAATCAACACACTTAATGTAGTAAAAAATTCCCCTCCACCGTAGTTTCCGAAGTTCAACGTCGCCAATACCCGTAATTTTACCAAGGCCCCATACGTGAACTACATTCCATTGTCGTAGACCCCATGGCGACAGGGGGTGTGGTTATCGGCGCTTCTGCCAATACCCTGCCAATGCACGCCATGCGACATATCATTTTTCTCAGGCCGGTAAAGAGATTTCAGTGGCATCTTTCAAACTTTAATATGCCACACCCCTTGTGGGTGTGACTACGGGTATCCAATAGGTAAATTTAAACCTGGTCATGTGACATATTATTTTTCTCAGCTCGCCAAGGGGATTTCAGTGACGCAATTAAAATTTAGTAAACCACGCCCCCTGTGGGTGTGGCCGTCGCTATCCAGTGAATCAACTTAAACCTGGTCATGTGACATATCAATTTTCTTCGTACGTTAAGTGGATATCATTGACGTAGTTAAAATTTTAAAAGGCACGCCCCCTGTGGGTGTGGTTATAAGTATTTGGCGAATCTAACCAAACCTGGTCATGTAACATATCAATTTTCTCAGCTCGCCGGGGGGATTTAACTGACAGTTAAAATTTAGTAAACCACACCCCCTGTGGGTGTGGCCGTTGGTATACAGTGAATAAACTTAAACCTGGTCATGTGACATATCAATTTTCTTCGGACGTTAAGTGGATTTCATTGACGTAGTTTAAATTTAAAAAGCCACACCCCCGGTGGGTGTGGCTACCCTCGCCCTGTTGGGTTTCCGAATTTCAATTTTTCTACTAGAATTTTCTGATCAATCTATGAAAAATGATCTGTTTCATCGTTTGTTTTCATTTAATTCAAAAAGTGGCTGACAACCACACCCACAAGGGGTGTGGCTTTTCATGGTTGATTTACACCACTGAAATCCCCCTTGAGTTGCTGGGAAAATTGATATGTCGCATGACCCTGGTTACGTAGATTAGCCGAATCATAACAACCAAACCCACAAGGGGTGTGGCTTTTTAAGTTTGAATTACACCACTGAAATCCGCTTGAGTTGCTGAGAAAATTGATATGTCGCATGACCCTGGTTACTCAGATTGGGCGAATGCTAACAACCACGCCCACAGGGGGTGTGACTTATTAAATTCTAACTATACCACGGAAATCCCCTTGACGTACTGAGAAAATTGATATGCCGCATGACCAGGCTTACGTAGTTTCACTGGATAGGGACAGCCACACCCACAGGGGTGTGGTTTACCAAACTTTAAGTGCATCACGGAAATCCCCTTGGGCAGCTGAGAAAATTGATATGTCACATGACTAGGTTTAAGTAGATTCACTGGATAGTGACGGGCCCACCCACAGGGGGTGTGGCATATTTAAATTTGAAATATGCCACTGAAATTTCCTTACCCGCCTGAGAAAAATGATATGTCGCATGGGGTGCCTTGGTAAAGTATTGGCAGAAGCGTCGATAACCACACCCCCTGTCGCCATGTGGTCTATTACAATGGGATGTCGTTCACACAGGGGGCCTTGGTAAGACTACGTGTATTGGCGACATTGAATTTCAAAAACTACGGTGCGGGACAATTTTTTGCTACAATAAATGTGCTGATTTGACATTTGACCACCCCCACAATGACACCAGCGCAGGGGGTGCGGTCGATTAGTCGCCCAATATGATAACCTGACTATTGCCGCCAAGAATTTACCCCCAGGTCCGTCGAATCCAGTCGTAGAATTTTCAAATTCGATGAAGAAGTGTTACTTGTTTTTTGACCTTGTGACCTAGATCTCAAGGGGGTGGGGCCGAATTTGAAAAATCTGAAAATAGATATTTTTCCCAAGGGTCCAGGGTTTCCAAAACGGGTGCCATCTTGAAAATCCATCAACAACCTACCGTGCAATTAATTTCGAAACTTTACATGTTATTACTTATGGAGAGGTCGGCCATTTCACCTCCCGAGAATTCCCTTGCTCAGTACTTTCTGGATGAACGATAGGTCAGCCGGTCGCTCACTAATTTTACGCAATCGTTTGATATGCACTATTTGAGATGTGAATGGAGAGGAAAGGTGAGCAATTTCATAATTCTGGGCTGAAAGTTTTCTAATAACTTTGTACGGACCAAGAAAGCGATTCGAAGGTTTCGAGGACGTACCAAAATCAGGCTTGATCTTATGTAGTGAGCATCACAAAATCCCCCAATATTAAATTCAATGGAAAATGATGTTTATTATATTTTGCGCGATGAGTCTCTTGTTTACCTAAGATAGAATATTGAGCAGCTATTCGAGCAGCTTGTAAGTCAAGTAAATATGTAGGAGGTAAACCTTCCATATCTAATCCATTTTCATATGGTAATAACGGATGCGTACCATGACATAAATAGAATGGTGAAAGTCCGGTAGTTTCATTAATCGCATCGTTAAGACTGAACACTATGCTATGGAGAAAAATCTCCATTTAGAGTTATTCTCATTCACATAACATGTGAGTGCTTGAGTAATTGTACGATGCGATCTCCCAACTTCACTCGCAGTTGAGGAATATGGTGTATAAATATAAATATAAATATGGTGTAAATAGCCGTGATATTTAATTGGCGAAAGAATGTTTTCGTATAATTAGCATGATCGGCAGAGAAGTTGTCCAAAGTGAGCCGACGCACCAAAACGACAAATCACTGACTTTAGCAGAAATGACGCGACCGTATTTTCTATATAATTGGCAAAACTTTCTGCAACTATGAATTTGGTAAGCTGACATACACAGACGAAAACATATTTATGCTTACCCGGGCGGCTCGGAATAAATTGGCAATGTCAGAAGATGGAGGTTGGAATTTCATGGGATTTATTTATGCCAGGCACTAACGTGTTTGTACTCTTAGCTTTGGCACAAATAATACAAGATTTAATATACTCGGCAATGTCTCGCAATGTGATGCTGACTCAAAAAGTAAGTCATCAAAATTCGTGGGATAGTGAACTGCTCTCTTAGGCCTTTGTTTGGGAATTGGTTTATATCGTGGGTGTGGCTTCGGGACAGAAGGGGAAGGAATTATGTCGGGTTGTGGTAAACCAGAAGACGTTGGGACCGGTGATTTGATTGGGATATGAAAATTAAAAGCTGGAATAGCTATAACAGGTAAGGGGCTTTTGGGGGTTGGTGGCAAGAGGTTACGCTTATACAGTCAATGGAAAAAGTATTGGCAACCCCCACGCCAGCTAAATGAAATGGGTTCTAACCAGTGGCGGATAAATAGGGTATGTGGGGTAGGTGTGACATAGGGGCCCCCGGGTGCGGAGTGGTGTATATACATATTACTATACTCAAGTTTGGTCAACGAGTTTCGAAAAATAAATTTACTGATACTTCGGATAAATTAGTATTAGGTTAGTTGCTATTAAGAACTCACATAACTATTAGTTTTGGAAAACTACAAGTAGGTGGTTAGGTATTTATGTATATATTTTGAAGGTACATACATAATTCGGTTACAATTATTTATTGCCGATTTGGAATAATTTCTCACCGGTCTGTTATAAATTCATAACGGGTCAGTGGTAGACTCAAATATATATCTTCGATTCGATTCTGCATGTCACTGCAACCAAGTTATTTCCAGTGTGTAGGTAGAGTATGTAATCCTGGTAGTTGCTTTTTTTTGGTTTTGGACATTTTTTGCAAGCGAGTCCGCAAAATTTTCGCAAACTTTAGTGGCCTAATAATAAATGTGGGGGCCCCTCAACAGAGTGGAGACATTTTTTCGCCAAAAACTGATTTTTTGTATTCTTGAAATATAACGAATATGTCCCAAAAATTATATTTCAAGAAAATTTGGCGATAATAAAGTTTCATATCTGTCAAGTGGTCCCAAAAATTTATTATCAAGCCTAAAGTGTGCGAAAATTTCAGAGGTGGGCAAGATCAAAGTTTTCGGGGATCAACAAAAAAGGTCAAGATCAATTTTTGATCCTCGCAAGATAAAGATCAAGATAAAGATAAGTCTGTCGAATACTAAAGATCAAGATCAAATGCCACATCAAGATTATAAGATCAAATCATACAGTATGCACGGAAATTGAAGTCACCATTACGTATTTTTAATTGCGATATGATCCTGTCAACTTAGATCTACTTACAACAGCATATATTCAATGTTTATATGGTTTTGTATATTGCAATTGTTTGAATTTCGCCACGGTCACGATTTTAGCCCTCAAAACCGTTTTTGGCGAAAAATTCCTGTGGGCGTCACAAA